AGCCAATAATCTTTCCACCAGATTCACAGGAGGCAGGTCAGTTGATGTTGGTGCACCTTTTGTTTTCAGTGTTACTAGGACAGCACTCACTACGCCATCAATAATCTTGTCATACTTGATCCAGTTACAATTTTTATGAGTAAGTTATTTTTCTTTGTTGTTTTTTATTTATAATGAGAAAGCTGCTGTTCGGAAAAATGTGAAATGGGAATATTTTAGCTGGCAAAACTCTTCATGTCTATAAGGTAACTTCTGGTTTATTCTATTTCACTGAAAATAGCATGGCAGTGTATAGCTCAGGGCACTTCCCAAAGAAATTGTGCCCAAAATGCTTAAGGTTGAGCACCATGCAGGCTCAGCAGTGAACCAACCATTTGTAAAATGGACAGCGAAGTCCAACTTAATTTTAAAAAAGCTTCTCTTTAGTGTTACTGGTAATCAAATTTTTTTTTCAAATTTGAGTTGGCTAAAACTGTTTGCCCTACTGGAAATATGGACCTTTTTCACCTGTGATAAAGCCACTTTCAATATCATGAATATTATGAATTTATTATAAAGAAATTGCAAACTGCTGATTAAGATGGCATCAGACTGTTTAATGATTGCCTTAATTTAATTCATAATTATGATTGCCTGGATTTGTGATTTTATCAAAATGCTTCAACAAATGGCTGTATTCCAGAGCACCTTTGCAGAGATCATCCCCTAACTGTGGATGTGACATTGAAGAGAAATAACCTGAACATTTCGGATGCCGCAGAGCAAAGAGCACGAATACATGAACACACCTGTGCCTCGCCATTTGAGGGTTTTAGTCCAACATTAGTCGGTTTTGTCGCCTTAAGTTTTAAATAACTTTTTTCTTCGTTCCTTTTCCCTAGGCTGGTTTCAGATCAACAATACGTACACGACATCGGCAACAATCCCCGTTTATGCACGTGATGGTGACGCACGGTACCAATGTGAGGCCTACGGTAGCGCTCTCGGGGATAAAAGTGGTAGTCACATGATCGCCAATATTGTCATTCAGAGCCCCCCATCACCCCGACCAGGTAGGCACGATGAACTTCATCAATGCATATACTCTTGTCAATACATACCTATCACGTCGTGGACTGGAGACTTAGGATCATCATGACCTGCTCTAATGACATTTTCAACATTTGAGCATTTTCGAGGTATTAAAAACATGTATAGTTAGCAGTGTTGTAGTTGAGTACTTTTTCCGAGTACCAAGTACTGCCGAGTACTTTGACTGCCGAGTACAAAGACAGGGCGAGTACTTTGCCAGCCGAGTACAAGTACTGGTTTCCGAGTACAAGTACTTGCACTTCCGAGTACAAGTACAATTACTTCTAATTCCGAGTACGAGTACAAGTACTTCTAATTCCGAGTACAAGTACGAGTACAAGTACTTCTAATTCCGAGTACAAGTACTTCTAATTCAAAAGTAGTTTTATCTTAATTTAGAGACGCTTAAGACCTGCCACTGTGTAAAAGAAACACCGAATGCAGATGGCGAGCAATGTCAAGGTTACTACAGGTGTGTTGCAGCAGTTGACACAACGTGGCGTGGCGAAGTCTATTTTCCAGACTCAATTATTTACATGCCTGTGATTTTCTGTATGCTGGGTTCGTTGTTAAAATTTTGGGGTCCAGGAACCAGACTACCAATGCCCAAGTAAATCACGGAATCATTCTGGAGTACCACAATATAATTTGTGTACATGATTGGTTAAGTACGCGCACAGACAGCGAATGGGTTGTATGCCTTAATTGTCCCACGTTCGGCCTTCTTGTTGTCAGAACCGTATCGAATATCGGGTCATTGGAGTCAATATTTTTGTACCTTATTTCAACGGCCGTGCGTGGTAAGTTAACTTAAAGGATTTTTTTATCGAGTACTGTTAATCGAGTACGAGTACTTTGATGCTCGATTACAATTTTTGGATGTCAAGTTCCAAGTATTTTGTAGCTTGAGTACAAGAACTGTAGTTCGAGTATGAGTACTTGGACATCCGAGTATGAGTACTCTGAAAACAGTACTCGAGTACCGAGTACGAGTACTACAACATCGGTTCTAAAATTAAAAGCACTTATTTGAGGTATGTTGCCGCATGGGAGAGTTTTCCTTGAAAGCCCCACTAAAAATGGATTCACACCAATTGAATTTGTTTGAATTGGATTTAATTGGAAATATGGAACAAATTGGGTCCAATAGGCAATCAATTGGTGCCCAATTGGTTTCAGTTGGTATGCTTTCTCTCCCGTTTGTTTTTTCCCCCAGCAAGTGGAGATTTCAAATGGGACGCAATTGGTTTCAATTGGCATTTTTTTCTTTGCTGTTTATTTTCCCCAATCAATTGGAATTTCAAATGGGACACAATTGGTTTCAATTTGTGTGCTTTCTCTCTGTTTGTTTTCCTTGATTAATTAGAAATTTCAAATTGGATGCAACTGGTTCCCATTGGTTTGCCTTCAACATGTTTCCTCCATTAAATAGATTTTTCAAATGAGACTCAGTTGGTTAGAATTTGTATTGAAATGGTTTAAATTGGTTCTTCGGTTGGGTACAATTGGATTGTGAATTGGCATACAAATGTGTCAATTGATTTAAAATGGTCCAACTGAGAAAAGGTCTGAATTTACTATTCAAACCAGTTGAACCCGATTGGGTTCCAATTGATTCCAAACAAAAGCAATTATTTTGGATTTGGCTATTGAATTGCTAAGTGAATAGGATCCAATGGGTAAGTGAATTGGACATTTTCAGTAGGGAGGCATCATGTTGCATGCTGTTCTATGGAACCTTTGACAAACTTGTGTTTTGTGTTGTCAAAACACAATTTTGTACCATTACCTTTTCCCTATTTGTATCAATCTTTTGTGCCCTCAGGTATTATTTAATAACTTTAAAAAAGAAATTTCCATCTAAAAACCCACTCGTTAATTCAGATTTACTTCCATTTTTCACCCAATTCTGTAAGTGCAAGGTACACCAGTGTGACACATGATGAAAATTTAGACAGATATTTGGAGTCACTGTTATATTGCAAATGATATTCCACATTCCAATTTTTTTCCAGGCACCATCACCTCTTCGACTGAAAAAGTGATGGCATCAACTACTGACGTCCCTTACATGCCATCAGGTGGTCTGATAGCTGCATTAGTTGTTGGTTTGGTGGTTGTTTTGGCATTAGTGATTGTCCGGAGCCTTCTGATTTTGAACAAGGTAGGCCTTTATCAGTGTTGTATTTGAGACCATTACAAGATCAGGAGTAGTGTGTAAGGGCAGTCGTCCTAAATCGTGTCTCTTTCTTTCTTCGTCCACTCTTTTTTGAGACAGGTTGCTAAATAGAAAATTAGATCCAGAAAATAGAAAATAAATAGAAAATTAGACTTTAGCTCCTCCTACCATCATTAATGCACTCACCATTTTATTTTATAAAGGCTTTATAAATTATAAAACCGTCTATAATAAAAGATAGACAGCAGTAGACAGGCCAACAGCGGAGACGACGGCAAACATGAGGAATGCCCCTGCCACCACATGATGGCGCTGTTGCTACACACCAGCATACTCACAATTATATGTACGATATGCATGACATCCCTCACATATATTTGGATAAACGTTGGTTATCATGACTCTTTTTTATTATATACAAGTTTTTAAAAATGTCTCAATCGTACTTTTACCGTCCTTGTTCTTGATAATTTCTTCCTTTTCGTTTCTTAACGAAAATTCAAACTCGTTACATGTCCGTTTATAAGTGGTTTAATTAATGGTTTCGCTCAGGTGTAACATGCTACACAGCATATATGAAGGTTGCCCGTTAAAATAATTAAAATTGTAAAATATGGTTTAATTTGTGTTCTATGCCGCCCGCTTGATCTTCTATCAATTGAATGTCTAGTTGTTTGAGCACATTGTTTTTATAACCAAAACGCTGATCATATTTGCCACCTACGTTCTCCACTTCAAAGTCTGTGTAAGGGTGTAATCTTTTAAAACAATCGAGACAGTTTATGAATCCGTCTTCCATTCTTTTATTGACATGTTTCCAAACATCTTCTTTTATTTCCACATACGCTTCTGGAGGGGGTGTTTTATTGATCATAGTATAAAACTCTTCCAAATGTGGTGGAATAAAGTAGCGAGTCATTGTGTTTTATAAATACTTATTTGTTTAAGTCCAGCGACATAAAAATAACCTCGTTACCACAAGGATAACAAGGCTTATCAACGTTAGCTAAATCTAAATTATTTACTCTGAGTCGCTTTCAAATCCTATGAACAATTTTAATGCTGTCATATCCAAAATGACATGGACATTTCTAATTTTTAACATGGCTTTTTCAACTTTATATCTAACGCTGGCACCGCAAAACAGAGATCCATGTGTGCTGTAATACATGTCTTTGGGACAAATCAATGAATGCACATTGCAACGTTTAGCAGTATATCAAACATAGGCGGTTGAAGTTGATAGCAGATTTGTTGTCCAATGATATTTTCAGGAGTTTTTTCTTTGATACAAGATTTACAGACTGGATTTACGCCGTTGCAGATTGTATTTGATATTGTGATCAACAGACGTTTTTCTTGGCCGTCGTGGTTATACAACATGGGTGAAAAATGTTGTGTGTGTTGTTCACTCTTTTTTACCACGAGGTCTGCTATCCCGAGTCTGTCGGGGTCAAAGGGACCGTATACAACGTTGGGGTCTGTGGTGTTGTCATTGGGACGTTCGTAGCCATAGGTTAGGATATAAGTTTAGTTTGACATAATTCTTATTTTGTATTGGATGTGATCTTATTTTTCATTTTTTTAGTTAAACGACTTAATATGCTTCGTCTATTAAATTTAATTTGCGTATGGGTATTCGGGTAAACTTCCTTCTAGAGGCACGATATCTATGTCTATATCATCGTCATAGTCAATTATTAAGCCAAGTTTTTCTGCTTTTTCTTCTAAGTCAGATCCATAGTCGGGGTCGAGATCATCTTCTCTTCTGAATCTCATCCTTTTGTAGCAACCGTAGTCGCTGTTGCTGTCACATATAAATATTTAAAACGATGCGCCGTCTAAATCTTTTCAGTCGATGCAGTATTCACAATTGATACAGTTTTTGCATTTGATGCAATTATCACAACTGGTATAAGCATCACAGTAGTCATATTTTTGACAGTGGTGACAAATGATACAATATTTGCAATTGACACAGCTTAAGCATTCGTCACAACTGTTGCAGTTTTCACAATGTTCACAAGTTTCGCATTCGTCCCAAGATTTGCAATAGTTACAATCTATAAAATTGTTACATCGATCAGTATAATTAGAGTTCAAACAGTGTTTAGAATTGCAAGCGTCTGTCACGTTAACGGATTGAGATGTGTTTTTGCAAAAGTAACAATTGATGTTGGTTAATTTTGTTTGGGTCTGGCATCTCTAGTCTCGATGTGAATGTGGCAATTTTTGTATGGTTTCCAAGATAGAGAAATTGACTCTCATTGTGGGGAAGGGTGGCTCTCGTGTTGGTGGGCGAGAAAATGTTTTGGGGTTGTTTTCATTTTTGGGAGGGTTGGGTAGGTACCCAGGGGAGGGGAGGGGGTCCCGGACTGTCCTTACACACTACTTCAGGCACAAGACCAGTCAAAATGACAAAGGAATGCTTTTGTTGCAGTTCATTTGAATAGCTTGTGACTTGAACTCAGACTGAAGGTCTTGTGATGGTCTTGTGTGGTCTAGTGAAGGTCTTAAGTGGTATGGACTACAACGTACACTAGCCTTCATCATATTTAAAATAGCTCTAGCGTGATATTGAAGGACACCGACATAGTTCCATCTCTTACTTTAGGATTACTCTGCTCACAGGATTGAGCAGTACGTAACGTATTAAAGACATGTAGGAGGATTCAGCATATAAGAGGTGCATAGATCTAGAAAACTTTTGAAAATTGCAAGGGCAGCGTCTCCATTTTTAAAAGGGCAGTAGGTTTAGGAACAGGGCTCTTCGGAGAACCTGGTAAAGTTTCCTGGGAAAATAATTCAGGATTCTTGATGCCCAAGGGAGTTTACATATGAAAGGGAACCCATCTCAGTATCTACTCATTGCAGGAACAAATTAGGGCAAGTTACATCCCTTTGGTGGGAACTTACAAGCATGCGCACAACGCAGATTGACGTGCTGTTTTGCAATGGCATTGGCTCATGCTTTAGCCGGCAGGTTGACAGAAGTCCCATAATTAATCTGTTTCTTCTTTACCGATGAGGGACTGCCCCTTGCTTATAGAGCAGATTCCAAACTCTCAGCCCCCCCCCGAACTGCTTGGTTACTTTGCATTTGAGAAGAAACACTGAACAGAGTTCAGTTGAAGTTCTTTGAAGTTTGTGATATTTTGCCAGGATTATTCTGCTTTGTCAGCTACCTTCCAAAAGTTGGGAGTACAAAATGAACCACTGTTTGTCTAGTGTCGGTATTATGTCAGGTGTCAGTATAATTTGTTCATTATCATTATTATTGTTATTTGCTTACACACAATGAGATAAGAGATCTTTCTCTTGTCTGTTGGATTAACTCGAGCAGTTATCATTATTATTATTTATTATTTTTTGTAATGACACCAAAGATTCCCCAGAGGTGCCTCACCAGGCACTGCAGTTTGCAAGGCTGAAGAAACCTGTAGAGAGGAGACAATGAGAAGCAGTTACAGTTTTAGAGGTTGGACGAAAACCCCAGAGGAATATTCTGGGTAAAACCCACAGAGTCAGGTAGGGACTGAAAACCCAATCCACATGTGGACCAAGGTGGGAATCGAACCCGGACCACAGAGGTGGAAGGCACGAAAAGAACCACAATGCCAACCCGACTCTTCTTGTCTCTTGGTTTGAGAATGTATTAAAACAGATAATCGGATATTCATCAGGTGTAACATAAATCTTGCATAAACACGTACATGAGGAATACTGTGATGGCATTGTAAAACTGGTTTTTCTGTCCAGTGCATGTTATGAGTCATTGGACTGATGGCCCAGTGATTTCTGAACTAAATTCAAACCCTGCATAAGAAGTCTATCTTGACTCTGGTTATTTGTTCACTGTCAATGAATAGGTACTGAAAAGACGAGCAGACAACGGAAGGCAAAGAGACCCAGAAAGGATACCTCTGAAAGGTAGGTCAAATTTGTTTCCAATTCATGATCTTTCGGGAATTGAGCCCGCTAAGGAACTGATCATTCCAATATCATGTTTCTAATACACTTCCGGACAAACAGGAAACCATCCAGAGAATGGTTTTCCTTAACTAGAGATGTTTCTGTATGTGTTCTACAGCTTTCACGCAACAGTTAATTTATGTTACCATCTTCAAGCTTTCTATATAAATTCAAACTTGGCCTTTCCTGAGCAGAGCCGTCCTTTCCTGGTGGCTAGATGAAACAACTTCTCATGATGATAGCCATGATTTTAAATAACAAATAATTTTACTGGCATCCTTAGGGTTATGGGTGACTTGGAACTTTACAATAGTTGCTTTGGTGCCTCGGGTACTTTACAATAGGGGCATGGGTGCCTTTTTTACTTAAAAATAGTGGTTGGGATTTTTTTTTACTGCATTTGTATTTCTTTGGATGCAGATAACGTGACTATGCAGACATGTAAAGATAAACTGAAAGCTGTTTATATGGCAAGGATGCAGAGAATCTCAACAGGCCTGGCAGAGGAGAATCAAGCTGAAGCAAGGCACACAGATGATATATTCACCGACCTTGAACTCCAGGACAGAAATAACACAGTTACCATTGAGTCTCATGAGCAGATGATTGGCTTGCTTGGGGGACAAAATAATCGTTTTGTTCTAAAAGGAGCAGCTGGGTGTGGGAAAACCACCCTAGTCAGGCGATTCGGTTATGACTGGGGCAACAATTCAGAATACATGGGAAGATTTGACTTTGTGTTTGTCTTAAAAATGAAAGAGATGAAGAAGAACTATGGGTTATTGAGTGCTATTTTGACGCAGAATTTCACCAAGGATCAGCAGGTGAGCAAGGATGATCTCCTGTCTAGTATTCGCTCATCAGCCAGTAATGTTTTGATCATTCTTGATGGACTGGATGAAGTCAACTGGGAGGTGTTTAACAGTCCGGCACCACCAAGAGACATTTCGGTGAAAGACATTTTGACCGTGAATGCCCTTCCTGAAAGCTATGTTATTGTGACAACACGCCCCCACATGATGCATAAGCTGAACAAATTGAGCAAGGATCCCGTGTACAATGTAATTGAAGCAACTGGTTTCAGCCAGCAGAAAAGAAATGAGTACATCGAAAGATGGTTCAGATTCGACAAGGATAAAACCAAGAAGCTGATTCATGAGATTGAGACATCAGCATTTCTGGAGATTTTGGCAAAGACTCCCATCATGCTGAAGTTGCTCTGTTACATAAGGAAGCATCAAGGAGAAGATAAAGATTTGCCAGCCAGAATCACTGAGTTGTACCAGAGGGTCATAGATGTTCTCTTGAAACACCAGGTCAGGAAGCACAACAGTTCACTTGATGCAAAGAGACTGAAAAAAGTCTTTATAGCGCTTGGAAAAGTTGCCTTTGAAGGTCTTATGGATTCCAAGGATGGCACACTTGTTTTTGCCCGCAACAAATTTCCCAAGAGGTCATTAGTTGACGGGTTGAAGTTGGGACTTTTCTTGGAGGAGCCAGACTCTCATGATCACACGGTTACATTTGTTCACAAAACCGTCCAGGAGTACTTTGCGGCTTTCTACGTTGTACAGAAAACAGATTTGTTTATTCAGCAAAAGTTGTTGTCAAAAGTAACAATCGACACTGTCCAAGAAGTTGAGTACATTCTACTGTTCTCCTGTGGCATGAACACAAAGGCAGCAAGGCTAATCTTCCAGCATATCAGTGGCATTCAAGATAACTTGATATCAGATGCATTTCTATGGGTACAACGATTTACTCTCATGCTGTACTACGAATCCCAGTCAGATAGTCTCAAAGCAGGGGTTGGATCCTGGTTGTCCCTTAGGTACAAAGAGGAATTTACGGCTTTTCAGCACTACATAGAAAACGTAACGCAGAGTGCTTCTCATGAAGTCCAACTGCAGAGGTTGGATATTTATCTGCATTTCGTCAAAGATTACTCACTGATTCACAACATTCTTCAACGTGTAGACGTTGTCAAACTCTACATTGGTGTCTTACTGTCTAACAAGTTGAGGGAAAAGCTGGAGCAACTTGACGAGACAATATCAAGACTCACTGTGAAGCCTGGGGAGACAATACTTTGCATTGATCAGAGAGAGCAAGGAAGATGTGATGAAGCTGCATCAGCTGAACTCCAAGATCGAGGAATGACAGCAATCGCGGCGCTTGTACCCTTTTGCAAGACCAAGGGTCATGGATTTGGCCTGCGCATTGAATGTGATATCATCAGGTCACAGAAAGCCTTCTCAGACATTGCTTCAAGTCTTGCAGAGAGCCAGGGGGTGTATTTTAGTGTGCTGAGCAACAGGGTAAGTGGGTACATGAAGAGCCTAGAACCGCTCATCCCCTTTTTGAAATATCTAGAGTTCTATGACTGTGGCCTCAGTGAAGTGGATCTGAAATCACTGGCACAGTTGCTGCCAAATGCTAAAATGTTGTGTGAACTTCACATATCAGGAGGTAGCTTCAGTGTGCAAGCTGCAAGTTTCCTCCTTGAAGCGCTGGCCAAACATGTACGATGCCCTAAAATGGTGTTGGAATTGGGCGAGAGTGAGTTAACATCTAATGAAAGCATTGAAACAGTGATGAGAGAGATCTTTTCGAAGGTGGAAACAGTTCAAGGAAATGTCAAGAATCAGTTTTATCTGCACAAATAGATGAGATGTACCCAAGTAGCTGATTTGTCAATATTTCTGTCATCTCAGAGTGCCCTTTTCATTAGAGTTGAAAGATTTGAGTATTGAAAAAAATTCCTTTGACTGATCTGAGCTCTGTAAATGAGGTCACTGAGCGGGAGATTCATTGTTTCATGTAAAATTAATGCTAACAAACAACCTCTATGACATGTACGCTGCAGATCCCTTGCTTGCTGTTTAAATCTGGGAGCTGAGAACAAGAAGGGAAAGCAGCTCAGACTGTCGCTGCTGTTCTGTTTCACAAAAATAAACATTTCTTTATTTTTCGTAACTGAATTTCATTTAGATTTCCACAGAGTTGGGGAAGATTATCCTTTCACTCACTTTGACTTGGAGACCTCTAAAACCTCACGGTTAGGGTAAGATGTCTCACACAAAAGATTAGTCTCAGAGCTCATCTCTAATATCTGATTGAAGTGCCAATATAAATATACTTGAAAACTTTACTAGATGCCTGGAAATCACAGATGTTAAATGTAAAATTTATAGAAAGTAGTGACCAAATTTTGAAATTTTTTTCTAAGTGCAGGCGCGCTTTTCAGACTTTACAACACCTGCGGTGGAACGATTTTTAAAGTGCGCGGGGGGGGGGCAGTTGTCAGACCATCAAGCATCAGCCAATTAGGGCTCGATCCATTGAGCCCCACCCAAATATAGGACCTGCAAAAAGTGGGGTTGGGCAGGCTTCCCCAGTTGAAATAGTGGGTTGGCCACTGGCCCCAGCTCCTCGCCAGAGCTTTACAAACATCTCAGTTCTTTAAGTTACACTTGAAATATTACTTCAAGTCATTTATATTGGTGCCAATCATTTAAATATGGTCTCAGTACAGCACTTTGGCTCAAGAAAGTGAGACAAATTAATTTGCAAAATATCCCCTCCAGATTTAAATTCATTCTCACGTCGCCATCAGTCAACACAACACATTCAATACATTTCAGTTCCTAGACGTGAGGTCTGGAAAATGTTTATCTTATCGCCATATACTGCCAATCTGACCATAAAGCAAGTGATTTTGACTGACCAATAACCACTGGTATTAATGGGTGTTTTTTCCTTAATTAAATTGGGCATGACAAGATCAAGCCGTATAGTAACATGCAACTCTATCTCCTAATAAAAGCATCCATGTGAGAAATATGAGTGTATAATGGTACCGAAGAAAGGAGGGAAATTTTTCTGTTTCCATCATGTTGCCGATACATGTATATGTTATTGCTCGACTTAGTCTAAATTGTCGGTACAAAGTGTGAAATAAAAAAAGTTGGGAACTGTGATCAGCTGCTTCAACTTGTAACGGTTTATTAATTGTGTAATCGAAGCACATTATACAATGAGACTTCACACTGACAGCAAATGTTAAAGTCAGTGTTGATGTACGTCGGTCATCTAGCAAAAGAATCTTCTCGCCACATACCATGAGATGTTGATGAGGTCCTTTTTGGCCAGTTTTCTGTGTAAAAAAATCTCTGGTTGCCGAAAATAGCTTGTTGATTAAAGTAATTTGCCTGTCATGTGATGTACAACCTATTGACGTTTGTTCTGCTACATCTAACACACGTCAATACTCGTATGTAAGTTGTTTTTACAGAATAAAATGCTTGTTTTAATTCAGTAAACAGTGCAGTGAAAGGGTTGCAGATTGTAGAATCAGTGTTTGAGCTGTTCATGTTTTCTTTAGATGTGTTTTTTCATTTAGATTTCAAGTTAATTTGAATTGTGACTTGGAAATGTTATTGCAGATGCTGTTCTCCGAACCATTCCGGCCAGCAGTGGCGTATCTGGAGGCATTTTAGTATAAATTGAATGCATCGGCTCCCTAGAACTAGTATTGCCCTTGAGCCGGGTGGGTTCTTTTATGGACAAAAAAGAACAACCCAGTCAGAAAAAAATTATACTCATTTTGCTCACCCTCCTATAGACTCAGAACCTGGATTCGTCACTGCTTTCCTGTCCATTTACAATGCAGAAAGGGCTGGCTATGTGCAATGTAAAATGATATACATGTACATATACTTTCGTATATAAATTGGCCAACTAATTTGCACGTGATTTGCATGTACGTTTCATCCTCGAATTACCATCAGGGACAAGTACAGTTTCCTTTTTTAAACTCATGCTAAGGCTACCATTATTATGTACTAAATGTTTCATTTTTTTATTTAAAACTTTAAAATCTTATGTGTAATGGGTACATGTTTATTTTATTGCAGTTTGTGTTTACACTACACAAAAAATGCATCGGGTGTAGAACTGTTGTTTGCTAGGGATAAAAACAATGGCTTTACCATTTTAAGACGAATAGCCCATCTCATCTCTCAGAAAGCATTCCTCACCTGGACTAAGAAAAATACTTAGAAGCTGCACTCAGCAATTCATTTATTAAAATTCACAGAAATATCATTCGATGTTTAGACCTCATGGCCCTTGTTCGATTTGTTAAAAATTTACTGCAATTGGATGTGCTTTACACTATTTGTTAAATCAACTGCAATTGGATGTGCTTTACACTATTTGTTAAATCAACTGCAATTGGATGTGCTTTACACTATTTGTTAAATCAACTGCAATTGGATGTGCTTTACACTGTTTGTTCCTGTTAACAAAATAAAAGACGCGAAAGCAAAGAGTGAATTTGTCATGGATCATCTGGGGCATTTATTTATCGTACGTAGTTTACTTAACTCAGGTCAAAGGCCACTGCTGCGACCTGACTATAGTACCTGTGAAGATGGGAACGCACGGCAAAGTTTACGTCCGATGTGCGTGGCCATCATGCTGCCAATTCGCAGGGTAAACGTGTATTCGTGCGCTGTTCGCCCGTTTTAGCGCTTTTAAAGGGTTATTTCTATGATTCTTTTGACAATACATACCTCCGAAATACATTTTTGTGCATCAATATTCGTTTCACGATTTCAAACAGTTCTTTACTGCCTTTTTATTTTTATGCTGAACATTTTCATATTCATGAGCCAAATATAATAAACAGTGATGTCAGTCATCTCAGGAAGGTTATAGGTTGTGTACCAAAAAACTCTTGTTTTAAAGTTTTTGCTGGCCTAAATTTTCCGTCTCTTCCATCGGTTACTTTGTGTAAAAACATATAGCAAAAAAGAAGTACTTGATTAACGCTTTCTTAGAAATGTTGTGGGTTCACAATTTTAACCGAAAAACCTCCGCAGTGAACTCTAATTTCTGGTTGACAAATCATGCAGCAACAGCGCCCTCGGTTGTTTAGGAAAGCGCGGAGTTTAGAGATTTGATTTTCAACGCGTTTAACCTGCCACGTGGATATCAAATGTACAATTAGGAAAATTGAGTATTAAATTGCAGAAATATACGTTGCAGAAAAATTCATAGCAGTTACACTTTAACGAAAGATCGCCCTTTAAGTTTAATATCATATAAAACAACTTTGAAAGCCAAGAAAACCTCATTAAAGTTCAGCCAAAAATTCGATGGAATAAAACTTTAAAGCGTCGCCGGCATGATGATGATGACGTTAAGGAGCAAGTCAGCAATGTGTTTTTCACTAGAAGTTATAAACATCGACCTGCCCAATTTCCTATTTTGACAAATCATTTTGACCTTTGCAATGCATCATGAGATGCATTGCATACACAACCTAACGGAAAAGTGCGCCTGCAAAACTTTAATCTGTTTCCACTACATTACACGATCCAATTCAATTAAGCCATTATTTTTTCTTCCAACACTGGGTTGTACATTAGGGAAAAAATGTAAAATATTCACAAAAAAGCAAACTTCAAAGTTTAGCGAAAACAAGAAGATTTGGACAATTCAATCCACAGAAAGTTGCTGGTACATTGTATTTGCGAATTCAACAAAACGGGCTGGAAGCTCGGACTCATGAGTCAGCACCAGCGAGTCACACATTGTTCAGCTTCACCGTCACGACAGGGATTGGCACGCCCTTTAAAATTGTTTCAACAAGCCTTTTTGATTTTTAAATCTGAAAAAATTTCTTGAATACTATATATGCATCTATGACTTGATGAAAATTTGAAGAGGCACATAAGAGAAACTCAGAAAATTGCCATTAGGTNATGTCTTTTCCTGCCTCCATGGTTTGATCATGATAATGACTGATCGCTGCCGGCCCCCCCCCGGCTCTTGTATTCGCCTGCCGCGGCCCATTGGCATCTAGTCTGGTTCCCAGACCAAAGATACGGTTCTTGACACTTTAAGAGATAGGAATCAGCCTAGTTTCAGCAAGAACGACGTGCTTTTGGCTGGGCCCGTCAAAGTTGCCGCGGTTTTTGAATTGATTTCAGGAGTGTTGTGGGGATATTTTTCTGCTTAATTCGTTTTGTATGGAGAAAATGATAACAAATCGAAATTGGTATATGAGGGATGTAAGTATACGACGGGAAGGTGTTGTTTGCTGATATCTGTAACACAAAGGGGCAAAATTTCCTTTAGTATTGTGTGAAGTTCCCGGATGTGGGACTGCAAGAATGGGATACCGGATACCCTACGCCGCGCCCCAACTATGGCATAAGTCCCAACTAGTTGAGACAGTCCCAAATGTACTGCTGCAGTTGGGCTGGCCCAACTATTGTTGACCAATGTCTGTGGGAAATGTCTCAACATTATCCAAGTCAGTGTGTCTCACACTTGACACAATTCATATAAAATGGCACTTTATCTGTTAGCCCTGTGACCAATGACATGACATTTGTAAACAATATGACTTTGGCACATGCTGGGTACATCATGCACACAGGACCTCTCTGCTGTAGTTGGGCCAGCCCAACTGTAGCACTCTAGTTCGGATGGGCCCAACTATAGTTGGGACTTATGCTGTAGTTGGGGCATAACAAAAATAACCCCTAAAGTAATAGTAATAGTGCCCGACTGCCTAGGTACCTCAAACCACTCACTCTGCATGTTGAGTTGCTTTGCCGGCAAAAAGAAGCAAATATCTACTGCCTACATTGCGTACTGTTATTTTCCATCAGGTGTTTCGATGGCGCACTGGAGCCAGTCTAGCTTGGTCTGTGATTCTTCTACCGGGGACGGCTGGGCTGTTTGTTCTCCTCGTCAAGATCAGTATCTTTCATCCGCATCTCTGGTTTCGTGGTGAGTCTGTTTTGCAGTCAGAAAAAAGGAAAATTCATCTTAAGAAAATTACCTGCAGATATTTGAAGCTTTGTATGGCATGCGAGTAGGCGGGAAAATTATCTTTTGTCAGCTACATCATGGAAATCCCTTTTAGGAGGAAGTGTAGCCCTGAGAAAGGAGAAAGCTTGTGTCTGTGGAGTTTTGGTCGTGAGCCTTTTTGTTTTTTGAATTCTCTTAGACTGGTTGGTAACTGCACTCTCCATCTCCAGTGTTGGCTACATTCTATTGATTGCTGTTCTGACTTCACTGGTAGCCATCAGTAATGTCCTCTTCTATACAGGTGAGTTGTCTTAGCTGATTTTGTCATTTTAATCCTCGGCAGGTTTTCCCCCCTTTTTCTTCTCAGGAAATGCTGAACTGAAACATTCTCAGTACTTTTGAAATTAAATATTTTTTTAAATTTATTTACCAGCGCATGGATCTTCACAGCAGTTATATTTAAACATTGGCAAAGTGTTACTTTTTTTATCCCAGTTAGATACTGGTGCCAAGAGGCATATATCAACAAACACTGAACATCACAGTGTTAGACAATCAGTAATTTCAGTGGTTTACACTATTGCTACGAATCTAGACATTGGAGTATTGAATTGTTGCAAACACACGAAAAACAATGTGTCTCTTCAGTGGTCCCCGTTGTGCAGCTGAACCGTCTGTCTGTCCTCTGGGGCGTGGTCAAGCCGTCCAACCTGCTTCACATGGCATGCCACACCTTAGCTGGTGGAGTGACGGCATGGTGCTGGTCCTTCCTGATTGGTCCACCCTACAGCACTCTGACGGTGTTGTCGAGTGACGGCTCCAAGCAGCATCTCAACGAGAACCACTTGTTTCTGGTGTTGCACGGGGCTTACGTGGTATGTATTACAAGCTTTTGAACATGCAGAGTCAGCCGTTGTCTCTTCAAACCCAAACGGTCCAGGGAGCCGACTTTCCGATACCATCGCAATGCCTTCTTTTTTTATGCTGATCCTTCAGTAGTTTCCCCGTAAGGACTCGCAATCAGTTGAAAATAATTTTTACATTGTAAGAATGTGAAATAATATTTGTTTTGTGTAATGTCTGAATATCGTCTCTCTGTACAATTCACTATTTTCCTCTCTGCATTTAAAAAAGTATAAGTAGGAAAGTTTCTGGATTTGACTTTCTGTTGTTTGCAGGGTCTCTTGCACTCATTCTGGCTTATGCACACCCAGGCACATCGCATTGAATTCCCAATTATTCAGGTAACATTTTAGTATTTTTGTTTTGTTTTGGTTTTGAACATTTTGGTGTTGATACTGTCAAGTTTCATTTATCAAATAAAATATTGTAATCAAAACGGATGTCCATCACCAACTTAGTACATTATGTCTGCTCTAGCTTAGAATAAGGGAAATTGTTTATTTTAGACGTGAATTCTTTGCATATTCACAAATCATGACTAATTCCCTTTCATATCACAGCAACTGAAATTCTTCCAAGTAAGAACCTTCCTGCAAGAGAGTATCTATGCTAACCTGATCTTCTCAGGTCGAGCCACCGGCTATTTCTACCTCTTATACTATCTGTTCGGTAAGATGAGCCGTGTCTGAATTCCAGCAGCTTCAGAACGCGAATAATGACCCTTTCTGAGAGAATTTAATTGGGCATGTGCCTGCTAACATCAGTTTGCTAGCCCCAAACGCTCCCTGATCCTTCAGCACTCTTTGGAAGGCTTGGGAGGAAATTGCAGGATTGAGGAAGTAGAGCTTCTGTGACGTTACGATGGGCACGGATGTTCCTTGAAAATTAGGGTACAAAGAATATGCCATTGGTTTTTTCCTGCACAGTGGTGGATTTTAGAGGATTTAGGACAGGTCATTATCATTAAGTAAAAAAAACCTGTTTGACCTAGTATTATTAATTCCTATCAGCATCATATACCTAGCCTTTCAAAGGTCCAGCTTTCAGAATTGCTGGTCGGCAAAGCTTCTTTTAAACCAAGGATTCCCATATCCTGCCATTTACTATACAGGGTGTAACTAATGGAGGATTGGGGACTGTGAGGGTTGAAGATGGATCTAAGGTGGTGTCAATATGAATGATGGAATATTCAAGTAGTCAACCTTCCATCAGATATACATGTACATGGTTTTACAAGAGGAAGAAGTAAAACTTGAAGGAAAAGTAGTTTTTGGCCATGCTGCTGTATTATTGGGCCTATGCATCGAGTTCTGTCAAATTTACAACACCTGAATGCTTTTAGAATGCAGTTTTGTATTACCGAATAATTAATTTTTTAACCACTTCATTTCCTTGAGTTTCATCTTCAACTGTTTGATTTTGAAAATAAATATTTAAATAAGCATTAATTGATTGAATAGCTGAATATGGGAATTACCAGTAATGCCCTAGGCCTCACGGGACAACAATTCACCGTATCAGTATGTTGTCCTCTAGGATCCATTCCAAAGCATTGGCTGCTTGTGAACCTGAATCTCCAGGAATCTCCAACACCTCTCAACGCCATCAGTGGTCTCCTCAACCTAACCCTTCTGTGGAATGTTGTCCTGACCGGCTTCATCACCAGCCATCTTTGGTGCATGTCACTACATTTATTCAAGGTCTTCAACACAGAGGTATGAACTTTTTCCCGAATGTTTTTAGTACTTTCGGAGGCATTTTAACCCTTCAAAAGGAAGCATTTTTCAGTAAAGCATCTTCAATTGTAGCACGCATGTCTTTGTGTTTGTCATGAATTAACCGCTTGCCGCCGGGGTTTCTGGTACCGGACACGTATTCTTTATACGTTTGGCCGGGGTCTCCGAAATCGGACAAAGGGAACTGGGCCTTGTAACAAAAGACCAGGCTGCTGGGCATTACCAACATTTTTTCACTCTCAATACTAGAGATAATCCAGCCTTGTTTTGAAATAGTATACCACGATTTTGGGGATTTAGTGCGAGCGGATTACCACCGGGGACAAAAGCACTCCACCACCGCAGCGCTGAGCCACACAGTACTGCTGTACGCTAATCTAGCCCTATTGGAAAAGAGGTCAGCAGCGCACTGTGCCAGGTTCGTGAACAAAAGAAAATTACGTAAGACCGCACAATCTGGTCTCTTTTTACAAGGCAGCAGGCCTGGCTGAAATACTCCGGCATCAATAGAAGTTGTCTGTCAGATTAGAGTAGACCCCACACAGTCCTTCTTTTTGGTGTAAGTGGCCAGTAAATAAGATATGAATTTTTAAAGAATTTTAAAAACAGAAAAAATGATAATCATCCCGCCCCATTATCACCAACATTGATAACTGCCACTGGCACAATGTGGTTGAAGGGGGATTTGGTGTCCAGCCAATTTCAGGATTGCTGTCTAAAGAAGTTTTTTCACTCTCATGTGCCTTGATACAAGAAGCCTCAGTTTCCACATGCTGGATTTTGATTGATCAGATTGATTTGATTAATTAAGTATTCAAAAATACTTAAAGAACTTTGTGAAGAATTATAGTTTTAGTATGTTGTTATTTTCAAAATCATTATATTTGGTCAAAATAATACTACACCTAGGACAAAATCATTATGGAACCCGGGGACAGAAAACACAAAATCTTACTTTGATTTTTCCTTTTTGTTAAATACAGACAAGCAGATTTGACATTATCCAATTGTCTAACCAGCGTATTGTACTTCTTTCTCTAGTCCACTTTGCCTTTCTTAATTGCTGAATCCCACTAGAGAAATCACATAACATAAGCTTACATGTATCTTGCTGTCGTGCCTATCAGGTCTATCAATTTCCCATCGAGGTCCCTTTGAGCAGTCAAGAGGAATGCTGTCTGCACAAGGCACTGACGGAGAAACACTGCGCCTTGGTTCAGTACTTGGCCTACCTGGACCTCAGCATGCTGGCAGAGTGCGGGCGAGATCGCAGGAAACAGGTGTTTGCGCTCAGCCAGCCAGGTGAGAAAAACCAATCAAAGCAAGTCTGTACTTAAACTTGACTCGCTGCATTTTTCAGAGATTGTAAACACTTTCTTAGAGAAACAATGAAAGGGGTATTTGATATGCATGTTAGATTGATACCCAGGGGCTTGAATTGACTGCCCAAAATCTGCCATGTGTGCACATGCATACGGTGTGCGTGGTTGGAAAATTCTGTGTGGCGTCAGAAAGATGCACGTGTCAACTGGTGTCATGTGGGCAGTGGGTGGGATCGGTCTATTCATGGAGGAAAGACACAGAAGGAGTTCAAACTGCCCGGGCTATAACAACTGGTCAATTACCGCTTTCTGGCATGCCTGGTATGTCCATAGCCAGAGCGCAGTGAATGCTTGCTACGCAACACCTGTTTTGCAACCATAAGTCGGCTTTGTACCCCATGATCATCGCCGCAATCATGGCTAGATTTGTCCTTCCTCCATGGTCTATTCTTGTTGCCGGGTGAGTCTGTTTAAAATTCAGCTCACACGTTTTGGTCTTTCCTGTTTTGCTTTCCGCAACTTCGGGGGGGGGAAAAAAAACAACAAAAGGTGGCCACCCTCATAATTGGACCAACATCTCCACGGCCTGTCTGTCTTTGATTGACTCGCTGACTCAGCGGTTGACCGCGCACCAAGAGTGGGTGTCAAACGGCCTGGCCCGGCAGAGACGAAGCCAAGATGACGCTCCAAGGGACAGAGGTACCTTGGTCACCAATGGGAGAGCTGCTGCCCAGGAAGGTCTGTATGGGATTCATCGATTGGTGTAGTGTGCTCATGCCATAATACAAAAGGGGGAGGGTAGCCGTGCTACGGCAAATCAAGAACCAAATTTGGGGGGGGGCAGAATTGTTTGTTTGTAACCAAAAACTTTGACAATTTTTCTTTTTCTGGCCTTTCTGAGGGGTGACGCTACATTATATAGGGCTTTTTACTTGATTTATTTATTTGAAATGTACCAAAAGAATGACCTTTCTCTCATTTTGCAAAACGACAAATGTATAGCCATAAACACTGTGAAATTCCCTACAAGTTGGCAATATGGACGTTCCACAATAGTGTGCCTCCAAGAGTTTGCAACGTGTTGGCCAATCACAATGCGGGAAATCTGTCAACCAAGTGCATGTGTTTGAAATGGATCGACAGATTTTGTGGGTTGTGATTGGCCAACGCGTTGCAAACTCTTGGAGGCACACTACTGTAAATCGCCCATATTTTATGCCATAGAATGTTAATTATTAAAAAATCTTTCTGTTTAAAAACAAGGAAATTGAATAACTGACATCTTAAAATTTTTGTGTTTCATTTGAACAAAAGGTAAAAGAGAGTGGATGTTCCCAAGGATTCCTTGAGAAAGTTCTACAAAATTGTTATCTTTTACTATTTTTTTAAATTTAGTTTTCAATATAAATTTTTGCATTTACTAATTTTTAGGTGCTATAAAAAAATCAGGTTCATTAGTTATTTGTCTTTGGTCACTAGAACGTTGAGAGTAGGAAACAATCCACAACTCAACACATTAAAATATTTGTTTGATTCTACTGGTTGTTATTTAGATCAATAAATGTTTTGTGTTCTTTTTTTCAAGTCTTGAGGTGTGATTTTACATGGAATCATGTTTCTCTTGTAAAAATGTTAAATTCACACTGCTCAGAGCATCATTATGCAGATATTTACACACTGATATTGTAACTTCACTGTCAAGCCATATTATCTTTGTCTTCTCCCTCCCACTCCTCTCTTCATAGACTCCGCCACTCTTTGGTACACACCTCAGGAGCCTCGGCGCCCGTACCTACGCAGTTCCGTGGCCTCCCCTATCACCCCGGTCACCGGGACTGACCCCGTGTTCAGCCCCGTCCTGGAAACTCCACAGGTTCCAGGCACGGGCAGGGTGCACAACGTCACCGCGCCGCCCAAGGAGAGCACATGGTGTGCTACTCCGGGAAGTGGGTACAACCCCCTGACCGGTCAACCCATTCACAGAGGTAAGCCCGTCAGCCCAGCTTTTGATCTCTTGCGTGTTTTTAGGAGCCTCGAGCAGGACCAAGAGAGGGCACAGTTTTCCTAACAACAGAGGTTCCTCTGGTGGGTACTGCTTTTCTCCGGTTCAGAAATGACTGTGAAATGCATTCATTACGGTCGCGTGGCTACCAACAAAATGAACACTCCCCACCAACATGGCTCTTTTCAACAGATGAGGGGATGCTTCTGCTCAAGGCAGGTTGGAACCGGCCACCCATTTCCCCGAACCAGACACTTTTCCCTTCAAACTGCCCTGTGCCACTGAAACTGCCACATCTCCTCTATCCCCAGGCAGTTGAAGATCAGTAATGAAACTGTCTGCAAAATAAACACACACCGGGTAGCCATTTCCAATATAGTAAAGTCTCCTTCAGCCACCGAAAGTAAATAAAGGATTGATATTACGACAGCATAAAGCTGGCAAAAGTGTAATTTAGACTGATTGTTTAACAGAGGATTAGAAATTCTCCAAGGAAGTATTTTTAATGAAGGTTTTTTTTTTTCAGATCAAAGAAAGTCTTCACAGTCCTCCAGAGAATACCCTGGGCTGGGTATGTGGTCATGGCAACACAGACTGGACATCTTCAAAAGATGGCGGCTCGGTGCTTACCTTTTGAACCCTTTCCCGGAAGCTGTCAGCCGGGCCTTGTTCATGGATGTGCAGTTGCACATTTGGGCTCTGGAAGGTGAGCAAGAATATTTGAAGCGACGTACTGCTTCACTTGTGTAGATATCCTAAACTGGGTAGAAATGGTGACTTAGTAGAGACAGTGTTAACTAGTAAAATTTGCCTCCGCTTGGTTTCTGTCCAACTTGAATTTTTGTTTACCCGCTTCCATAGTGGCTTCAAACTGGCCAGCTGACCCTGGAAGCTCAGTGTTGGAGTGGTAAGACTCCTTCACTCAGCTGGTCACTGTTTTACGTCCCACCCAAACAAGCTCTCAGAAAGTACTGAGTTTGTGCTTGAATGTCACTATATAATGAATACAATAGGTCCACAGCAATTGTTTGACCACCCAAACAGGGAAGCAGTATGCGCTCCGGCAGTACAGTAGAATGGTGCTATAGCAACCACAGAGAGGTCATGCACATGCTAATTAAGGTCACAATCAGAATAGGAGTTGAACTTTCCTCATAGAAAAAACAAGGATAATAATGGACGGTGCTGGTGTCACATCTTCACGGAGTCTTCCCTCCCTCTTGTTTTTTTTTTTTTTGCAGCTCTGTCCTCTCTGGTGGCTGCCTCCTACCACGAAGACACCTACGGCGTGGTTCAGGGAACCCTGCCGGACATTCTCGTCGGCATGCTCGGCCTGCAAAGTGTGAGTCTGATATGTTCTGTGGACCGGCTAATTGTGTTGCTGATTGCCCGTTTCGTGAACTGCTGAAACATTTTGTGCAGGTTTTGAAGCAGGAAGTCAGTGCATGTTCTATCAAAGGTTTTAGTCATGGCTAGTCTTTGAATGGGTAAGGAGAACGGTATTTTTGTGAGAATGCCACCGTCCTTTTGGGATGGCCTGCTATATTGTGTGATGTAATATTACGTGTGTTTTGCACCCCGGGAGAGAAAGCATGTCATCTTTGGCTTTGCCTGGAGTACTAGTAATTCCAAGAGGGTAAAAAAAAAAAATATGCCTCTGGCTGCATCAAAGCATCAAACAATGAGCCAGTTCAGCAGGTGAAAAAAGCATTAAGATCATTCAAGAATGAAGCACTTGATGTCGTGCCAGTTACAGCAGGTGAAGTGCTTGTGAGTCAATGTACATGTACAGCCGTGCTGAGAGGGCTAACCTCAGGCATACGCATTGATATTTTCGAACGACCTTAGTGTTATCATGAGAATAATGGGTTGTGTTGTCGTCTCACTTTAAAAGGCCGTTGAGAAGCACTTCAAGCTTCCCACTTCCGTCCCTAAGAGGAGCCCTAGTGACTTCCGGCCTGTGCGTCTTGGCCCAGTACACCCCGACGACAGACTCCGCCTTGACCTGAAGTCCACAGTCACGACATCACTCCATCGAATTGTGGCAACCTTTGGCCCCCATTTAAAGTAAGTGTTGCACCCCAGGACTGTTACCGGAACATCTGTAGATTACTGTCCCCTCTCTGCATCTTGAGGGCAGGTTTTTTGGCCTTCACGGGAGACTCGGAGATGCTGGAAGACGTGGACAACTGGCCCTATTGGTAGATCTGAGCTTATCGACACACTGGTACCTGTATGTTGTTCTGAGTGTGCGTCTGACCACTGTGTCTGCTGCCATTGGCANTGATCAACACAAAGCAGGGGGGGTTCTCTCCGTCTCATACCTTGCTGCATATGCATTGGCATCTCAAAAGTCTGCCATTATCGTCAGTGTCCACCAAAATCCAACTCCTCCGGCCAATTTTATGAAACTATTTGCAAAGGTTGCTCCACTTGTGCCAAATTGCGCATCGAATTCTGAAACATTGTTTTGAAGTAATGCACTATGTAAGTCTGCATATTGCATAACTTGCACCATTATGTTAGGGAGCAGAAGTCATGCTAAATACGTGTAATTAACGACTCAACTAACTAATCACGTTCGCAGTAATGTGTATACTTTGTCAGCTCAAAGAGCACCTCTAAGGAAAACATGTTTTCTCTGATTTTATCTGTCCAAATAAATATGGAAGCTCTGTAATGTAATGTTTGTAATTTGTCAGTCTATCGCGATTTATACTAGCGTACTGTCTTCTTTAAAATGAACAACCATTTTTGCAGATTTTCGTCACAGTCCCAAAACAAACACACCCTCACCTTCAGAGGTGATCAGATTCATCCAGCTCTCAATCATAAAACTACACAAAGTAAACGGTACAATAATAAATTTGAGAAAGCACTCTTTTGAAATGTAGCGTTTTTATTGTATCAAATGTTCATGCATTTGTTTCTTGTTTCAGGAGTGTGCAGATGGCCCCAGAATACCAGCAGAAATTAGAGCAACTAATGGAGTACAAACAGTGAAGCCATCCCCGAGACCTTTCTCTCAAATGACCGTTGCTTGCCTCTGAATCAACAGTGGAATATATTCGTTTTGATCATATTCCAGTAAACTATTTGGCCTTAGATTCTCAGACGTTTCGTTCTGGAATATATGCAACTGGCTATGCTATACGGCTGTTTTGGGTGCATGTCATCGTAGTATGCATTTAAGTTTTTGTTTTCATACTGACCTTGTTTTTACCCATTTGGGGGATTTTTTGATGTTGTTCGGTGCTGAGACAAAAAAACAAGGTTTACTGAGGAATTTAGTCTGCACATGTACATGTATTGTCATACATTAGAGTCATTCAAAGGTGTCAGTGTATATTGATTGTTTTTCTTTCCACCGTGTCCAACCCTCCCAGTTTCAGTGTTAAAAACTGACTCCCAACATCGTACATTGCAGAGCATGTTTGTTTTAATAGACAAGTGACTTTCTGTTTCAACGTTTTCCTTCCCTCAATCAAGTTTTAGGGGGAAAAAAAGCGAAACGCAGCTAATATTGAGGCGTCCCTGAAAAGTGGGTTGATTCTGGAAAGCAGGAGTATTTCATTACTTCTGACTTGGCTGTCAAGTTTGGAGGAAGTATTTATGACTACGCGTATAGATGATTACTTCCATGGTCTTTCCCACTGAAAAGGGGATTGGGGGCTGTGGAATGCAGTTTTAAGTAGCTATTGCAGGATTTTGGACTTTTTCAAATGCGGTGAACACTGCGCACATGGGGCAGAGATCACGGGGATGGAGGATGTATCCCCCTCACTGAGGGAGGTTATGCACCCCTATACCCTCCCCCTAATTGAAGTGGGACCTTGTGCCAAGTCAGACTCTGCACAAGGATGACCTTTCAGAAAGCATCCCCCCCCCATTGAGACAAGAAATCTCTGCCCATGGTTAAGACTAGGGTTGCGCCAGATAAAAATTAATTTTAGGATGTCAAGTGCCACTTTGTTGAGTGTTATGTAATGAGCTTATATTGGGTGAGGTCATGTGATAATATGAAATATTTGAGGTCATTTCCACCTGTTCTTAAGCCTCATTTTGTGGGTATTTCATTTGGTCACCAACTCTGTAATTTTCGGTATGGTTCTTATTTCCCTTACCAATTCTGTACAAATTGTACTGTGTGAATGTTGTGTTCAACATCTACGCAAGCTTGATATGAGTCCTCCGGCTTTTGTCAGAGAATACTTTGTTAGAGCTTTAATGATACTCTGGCAGATTGTGAACCATGGTAACCAATGGTAACCCATGTTGGAGGTAAATCTCCATGAGTGCATGAAGTGTCATCAGAGAGGATTTATTATCATTATTTTTTTTTTTGGAAAAAATTAAAAAATGGGTAGAAAATTTTGGCATTTTCTTGTAATATATTTTCAAAGATTAAAAAGTGTTGAAATGGTTCACTACTTGACTACATTAATCATTAATGCAGTTGTATTTTGCCGCACCTAAACCTGACCATTTGCTCAGTGCATGGCACATCTGGTTCCTTCAACCTCTAAAATCTGTACCTGAATAAAGCAACAAAAAGATTGAAACCCTTCTTGCTTTTTGAGGTAAGCATTCAGAAAAGGAAAGCGCTGATGGGTGATAACCAACAGCCGCGTATAACAGTCGAGTAAACAGTTAGGAATGGTGGAAGTAGTTCATGCATATGCATGAAGGCCCAAGGTAAAAAATGTCTTGCCTGCATTTTTTAATCAACGTAAGAATTTGAAATTGTATATATTCAGATTACCCTAAATGAAATTGTCGATATTTGTTTTTGAAATTAGGATATCTTTAGATGTCTTGCATAATTATGATCCAGATGCCACCGGCATCCGGTGGAACGATTTTCAAAGTGAGGAGGGGGCCAGTTGTTAGACCATCAGGTATCAGCCATTAATATGCCAGTCGATTAAGAACCACCGTTATAATTATGACATGCAAAAAGTGTGAGGGGAGCCCCTAGTCAAAAGGGGGGTACTGCATGGCCCCATCCCCCCACATCTGCCGCCAGTGCCAGATGCCGAAAAGTATCACTGTACATCATTTTCAACTGTAATCGATTGAAAGTAATCAATCCGTCATCAAACACGTCATCTCGTTCAGATGCAGAAATCCTTCCTTCCTACAAGTCCATACAGTGACACTTGGGCCCGTGTGACAAAACATAACAAACGCCGGCTCGGAGACTGCACTTGCCATACCAACAAAATTCACCCGGCCCGGCCCTCCGGTTACACTGCACCCAATCTGCTCAAGATAGAAATGCGCCTGCGCGGTGATCAGGCTTCAAAATCAATCCATTGAACCGGTCAGTTAAATTCCATTAAAATGGGAATCGATAATCCATACGTGAACGGACGTGCGCATGTATAATTAACTACATGCACTACCGAATGCACGTTCTGCGGCACATGTACACTGTACATGTATTTGTATATATATGGCACACACAATCCATCCAGCCAGGCTCGTCTTTTCTCTCTGAGCACCGCAGTACGCCTATATCCTTCCACATAGCAACGCACTATCTGCCAAATTAGCTTTACATTATTTCGAAATTATTCCGTGAATTTTCATTCAATTTTCTTTCAAGTCATTGCCTTCAACATGGTACCCAATATTATTGTGAAAAAGTGTAGGTCTGAGACGTAAATAATTGTAATTGTGGGTGAAGGGAGCGGCTGTTGGCGGACGATTTGCCGGTTGATGAGCGGTGACGAGGTTTAGCAACTGTTGCCTTGAGAATAAACGCCATAGCCACCGTAGTCCTGGCGACTGTAACCCGCCAACTACAAGGTAATTTTTCCTTTTTGATTCGTTGATGTGTGGGTAGACTGTGGCGTGTACGAACAAACTGTACATTCTGATATTAATTTGAGTCGATTCTTTTGCTTATTTTTGCGGGCTTGAAGTACAAATACTGTGGGACGTCGGGCCTTGGTTTTTTCAAGCGGCGTTCCAAAATGGCGATTTTGCGCGGGGAGTTTTCTAACGTGTACAAATCTGTAGTTTGTTCGGGTCGTTCTGCGAAGCAGTGGCACTGGTACGTTAACTTAATGGCGTCAGCCCGTTCGGGTTTATGCGGAATTTTGACTCATGTTAAAGCGGAAGCGTCATGTTTTTTTCTCATTTAGATTTATTATTTTGTACGGCTATAATTATCGTGATGAAGTACATAATTCTTGGAAGCCTATCCTAGTTGAGCACATCATTCATATTGAGTTAAGCTAGTTTAATGAATTGATTTTAAAAAGACAGAGGACACGTGGATTTTCGCAGTCAGACATGTCAGAGTTTGTTCTATTTATTGTCCTCATGTCTGAGCAAAGGGGTAACTCCTCATTCTCTTTGTACAGGGATTTACCTGTTTTCCTCCTTTTTTGCTGCAACGTGATAAAAATTACTTAATCCTTTGTAGTACCGTGTTGAAGATTCCCAGTGCATGAATAGTGAAATTTCAGGTACATTTCGTCACCAACGCCACGAACTGACACATCTTCACTTTTGTGCCAGTTCGTGAAAACCGTGATTAGAGCAGTTTTGGTTTCACGAAGTGACACAAATGTGTGCGCGCGCATATTGTACACTCGTGCATTATCAAACAATCTTGTTTTCACAAAGAAGCACAAATGTGTTTTTTTTGTCAATGTAGCATAAAAAAAAGCTTTAAATGTCTAGAATGATTTTATTTTACACGTAAATGGGTGACTAAACTGAAAAAAAAGGTTTTAAAACTCGTAACTGTGTAAATTAAGGAGAACATCAATTTCTGAATACGGCAAATCACGTAGCACGTGACGCAAGACATTTGTGCCTCTTCGTGAAAATGAAAATATCACATTTCTATAAAATGGCATTGAAGCACGCACACATCTATAGATTTGTATTATTTCGTGGTGTTGGTGACGATTTGAAGTAAAGCTTTAAATAAGAGTTTTGTCAGTTGTTCAGATTTTTCCCAACACTATTTGCCCCTTTGAGTTTTGAGTGTTAATTATGGAATTGCCACCAATTGACCAATCAGAGAGAGAATCAAGACTCAGTGACGTCATCCCGAGCGCAAGAATGTCTGACCATTAACTGGTCCCTAATTGACTGTTTTTTTGCTACACTGCCACCAACATGTAACGTAATAACTAGTATAGCATTGTAGCCTAGTCCTATAAGGTAAAGACATGACCGAAGAATATGCAAAGGGATCACGTGCATTGGGGGACTTTATTTTTGTCCCTTGCTAAGCCTAAATCTTTGATCGCATGCTTGGGCCATTTACTGGAACAAAATCAGTCAGGGACTTTATATTTTTGGCCTGTGCGGGGGCCTATATTTTATGGGCCCAAAGTTGACTTCTCTATATTCAAATTAAATTAAGCGCCACAGCATTAAAGCATTCATAACAAGTTGGAAGCCACGGCATTTATAGTACGCTATGGTCGCACATTGCACATCACTTGCTGCTTTTATGATCGGCACACAAAACATTTCACTGAGGTCAGTCCACCATTTGCGTGAAGGCACCTTGGCATTGTCTGGTCATTTGTGAGAAAGTTGTTAAGAAAAAACATTTTTGAAGGGGAAAAATGCACAGGAAAATATAAACTAGGCCTATAAAAAAGTGAGTTGTGCATCCAAAAATTAGTTCTAAATAATAGCCTTACACCGAAGTGACCTCATTTTCACAATATGGGATTGGGATCACAAACAGATTTGAATTTATGTCCCCTAAATAAAACCCTCCAGCGGAGTGAAATAGTTGTGCATCTTCATTGATTTACAGTGGATTTACAACCCCTAGGGCCAATTTTGAATTATTTCCCTTGGGGAAAAATCCACTGTAAGAAGGTAAATACCAGCTCTTGGAACTCTTTTCCAGCCCAGAAGGCAATAGGCATATTCTCGAAGTACATGTACGTGTAGATTGGTCCATTTTGCTGTGATCCAGTAGTGCAGTGATTTCAATTTTTTTTTTCAGAATTTGAACCAGAACCACAATTTTCTAAATTCCAACCTCTTTGTGCTTAAGCATGTAATGTTGAACTGCCACATGTAACTGCAGTTGCAAAATTGTTCCTCGAGCCCCTCTAGTTTCCTGTTTTTCCTTCCCAGAACCCACAGTGTTATCCTCCATTGTTTTAAATGGAATCTGAAGTGAAATTGCAGGCTATTTTACTTTTTGTGACCGAGGGCTCCAAACTGAAAAAGGTCAGAATTCTATCTCATGAGTGTGAGATTAAATGTCAATGTAAGCCTAAACCCAGATGAAGATTTCTTCTGGTCAGGTTTTTAAGTCCCCCAAAACACTTGCATAGATTCCATGGGCCAATTTCATAGAGCTGCTTCGGCACAAAATTTTCTTAAGCGTGAAAAAAAGCTTGCAAAAAAAACAAAGGTTACCAGCTCAAACTCTATCTGATTGTCATGCTAACCAAAAGACGGCTAAATTGAAGTCTTTTTGCATATATTCTTGTGTCATGTCCTGAGTATTTCCCTTTAACGTTTGATTTTTTTTTTACATTTCCTGTTAGAGGAAAAATACTCTGTTGACTGTGACCAACGCTGTGTGTAGTCAGGAAATGCATACCGTATAGCATTTAAACATATTTTTTGGTACATACATTGTATCCTTGTATTAAATATCTCAGTGTCTGAACTATACTGCTGTAGAAGGCTAGAGTAGTCTTACACACATGTGTAAAGAGTATGTGCCTTGCTTACTTTCTTAACCCTAACCCTCCTCAATCCTCCAGGTGAAGGATTGAGGAGGGTTAGGGTTAATGTGGGTCTAATTCCAGTCCTGTTCACTGATATAAAATTCATGCACATGAAACTGAAATGGTTTGTTGAACCCTAACTGCCCAAAACCTGTCATAATCCAACAGCAGGTTTTGTGAGGTTTTAGCAGGTTTGGTACTGTACCTGAGGAACTNGTGTTGGATTCTGTGTGAGTTGGGACACACAGGAGTCATTGTGTGCAGTGTCTGACTTGCTGTACCTATTGTTGGACTATGCTTGATTTTGTCAGGTTTGGTACTGTTCAGTGTAAGTCATCCTATACTGCACAGACCCATCCATACCATATCACTCAAATTCCAACGGGCTCATTCTGGTGGAGTTTATCAGGTTTGGTACAGTGACCTGCATATACAAGTACATGAACCTGTTGGATTTTGTGAGGTTCAGTATGCTTTCTAGTGCAGGAGCCTCGGGGGTTAGGGATAAGGCGGTCTTTTATTATACCTGTAAAAATTCAAAATCTGATTTTCAGATGAAAATTAAAACAGCGTAGATGTCAAAATAATATCACATTGACCATATAGGTGATTGTCAGTGCGTAGTATTTTATTGGTAGAATCTGAATGGCACTTGCATGTATGAGAGACCTGTAAGGCAAGTACTTAACAATCTTTTAAAAAATTTATTAGTACATGCGCCTGTAATAATTCAGTGCAGTCAGTAACCCGTTCACATATCACGATTTTTATGTGCCATTTAAGGAGCCCTGCAAAGCTGTATCTTGCTGTGTAGATCCAAATACATGTATTGGCAAATTACAAAAGATAACTTCCTGTGTTTTGTTCATTCTTTGATGTCAAATGATCAATATGTTAATATGTAAAGCATTCATGTACTTGAAAAACATGTTTAGAAATAAAAGCAAACCACCCTGAGGTGGTCATCAACAGAGACTGGCCTACCCTTGCATCACTCAACGCCCCACTGTTAATTAAATCAACTTACTTTGATAGGAAGACCTCGTTAATGAAGATCCCTCCTCTTCCACTGCCGATCTTCTTTCTTACTGGTACCTATTGCTCCCTGCTGCTCTGAAATCTGCAAAGCTCTGTTCTAGTTTTTACATGTACAGTACTGTGGTTTTAGAATGAAAACTGTGTTCTGCCGTGTGCAACCTTGATGGAAGTCATGAAAATTGTGGGAAATCATAACATGTAGGAAACTGATCCATTGTTCAATTTGCCTCAGTTTATCCTTGGATGTCTGTTGGTCTGTACAAAGTTTGTATCGTACTGGTGGCATGAGCAGGGCACATGGTGCACTCTTATGTACGTGTGGTAAGCGTCGTCTGTAGAGGTGGGTTTTTGTTTTCTGCAGAGGTTCCTTTTCTTGCCGTTATCGTTTTTCAGCTGGATATAGGCCCCGTCGTTAGCTGCCAACTGGTTTAACTGAGGTTGACATCCTAAACTCTGCGTTTACAGGATCACAGACAAGATCTCAAAAGTACACCTTTTATGTCATTTGTACAAACGTGGAAGTCCAGTGTCCTTCTCAGGCCAGTGTACACATAGAGCTACAGAAGAGGAAAGTACACAATGCCAGGAAAAAGAAATTTAAAATGGAAATTTTGCAGTACAGTGTGATTTACAAGTGTTTGTTTCCAGTGTTTGCTTGTGAAATACATCCATTCAGACCAGACAGCTTTCTTCAGCCTTGGTGCCTTTGTCTTTACCATTACTTAGGCATTGCTCCTTGCAAGCGCCTCTTCCCTTAGCAACGGGGCTGGTCCAGTATGCTGTCATTCCATTTCACCCCCCTAATCTGTTGCCATAGTAAACATGGACCATTTCCCTTGTTTCTAGGCAACCTCAGCAATAAATAAAGTATGCTTTACCATTTTGCTTATTAAAATTGGCAAAAGTATCGTGCCATTTATCTGGCGACATAACAAAAACTCATACTGAGCGAGCGCTGTCAAGGAAATGGAGGAATTTTTGCCGGTGTCTCTGTAATTTGGGGGTGTATTTCAGTCAGGGTAATAACGCTGACATCCAAAAGTGCAGCTTTTAATATCATCGAGTGATGAGTGTTACATGACACTCCAGTTCATTGCAGCCTTGTGAAGAATGTGTTCTAATTACAAGTATCAAAGTCCGCCTTTTCAACCTCGGTCATCAAAGGATGTTCAGTCTTGGTTCACGTTGCCATTGTACAAGTTGAAAAAAAAAACCCACTGTTACATCATTTTCTTGGAAATAAGGAAAAAATGGGACATTAAATCAGAAAAAAATTCTGAAAACGGGATGTAACTCCCATCTGAAATCTCTACCAATACATGTTCCGATGCTGGATCATAGTTTACACATTTCTTTAAATAGACGCTACTGACCAGAGTGGGGGAATTTTTCCTCCAAAGAATGGGCATAATGTACCAATTATGGGACTGTACTAGACTGTACTAGACTGTTAACAAGATTGTTTCACTATTACCACCTGATTACTATAATCGATAGGTATAATGATGCCTTGAGTGATTACCTCAGATGACCATCTGCAATGCAAATCTAATATTCCAGTACTGTTTTCAATGTTTTGACATGAATCAAAGATTTGATGAATTTTTACTTTCCTGCATGTCTGAGAATTATGTCAGTTTCGAATACGAGAGGTGTATTGTTAATTTAGGCTTAGTGGTTGGTATTTTTTGTTGATTTTGTTTTAATAAAAAAGTAGGTTTTTAGGTTGGTTTTTGTCATTAAACCTAACAGTCCTCAGTCCTCCAACAGGTGAAGGATTGAGGAGTGTTAGGGTTAATGTACTGATGTAAGAGTGATGTGGAGAAATTGATTTCAGTGTATTATCGATGGGAAAAAAATGAGGCCCACAAATCGGACGCTTTTTGCTGGGCCCCTACAGGCCAGATGGGTAAAGAGTGTCAAAGAAATTGTGTGTGTAGGCACACCATATCAACATGACTGCTGGATAGACTTGAACAAGTTGGTGGGATTTGTGGTTCAGCTCGGGAAAAGTAGCTTGTGACGGGATTCTAAAAGAATAACTTGAAACTTGAGTTCAGTTCTGTAGAGATTATTCTTGAATGTAGGTCACTCAAAGCACTTGTATAGTTTGTCACGCACATAAAATGGGAATACTTTGTATCCTAGAAGGCAACCCTCATTTCCAGTTGTTGATTTCCTCTATCCGCCCGGCAGGCAAGGATTGATTTTTGAGAGGCGTCTCCATCATTCAAGATGCAAGCAATCAGTGCCACTACCCAGCAACAACAGATCTCTACTCCCACCATCATCACAACGCACCAAGCACAGCATCAGCCCAGCACACAGACCATACAAGCCCAACAGTTTGTGCAAGTTGCAGGTAACTTCAACCAAAGCAACTTGGACATTTCTCATTTTAGCAAAGCTGAATTCCCCTTTGAAGGTTTTTAGAATCTCTGTTCTCCTGTAGTGTAACTGTTAAATGCACAGAAAGTTAAATCTTGTAGTTGTTAGTTATTGTCATTCATACCACTTTTTGTCTGAAGTTGCTATGGAAAAATTTCTGTTGTCAACTTTTATTTTCCATGTTCATTTTTGATGTTTAGATTTTTGGTTACTGCTGTTGCCTGTCATACCTCTTTTTCGGAGATATAGGATTTTTATTCATGTTTGCATGAAGACTCTTGTGAAGCATTCTCCTGTGTTTTCCCTGTTGGCTGTTGACAGCAAAACAGAAGCATTTGGAAAAGGATTTTGGTCTAACGATTCATTGCTATTGGCTCTTTTTGACCAAATCCCAGCCCCGGTGACTGAACCAGTGAAGGATGTCCCATCAGCAGGCACCACTGTAACCTTGCAGACCATCCCTGTGAGCCAGACGTCTCAGCAGGGCATCTACCAAGGACACGTGCAGTACGTAGACGGGGGCGATCACTCAAGTTCCATCTATGCTAACGGCGCTATGTGAGCTCATTATCAAATCATCCTGCATGCTGGCCCAGTAACACCTGACTGAAACCTTTCCCCTCCTTGCCCACCACTCTACCCTCCCTCCTGCCCATTTCTTTCAATGCTGGTTTGGTTGGCTTGGTTTCCATGGTTACCTTTGTTCTTGCATGCAGCAACTTGTAAAGTTCAGTTCTCATTGATGTATGCTGAATCAGGGTCTCATTTAGCGACCTGTCCACCCAGCTATTGGACGGGCGGTGTGTTTTGTAGATGGGCACATTCTAAAATGGACAATAAAAGAAATGACGGATAGAATTTTGCAAAATGAACAGGAAAAAAAAAATTAAACATGAAAGGTACATTTTTGGTAAAAATTATACCTGAAATGACTGAATTGTACTTTTGTTTACAGGAAAAGCACAAAATTACCTCATAAACTACTTGATCAATGTGATCCATGCCGAGTTGTTTGCATAGACGTGCATTCTACGCAGGCAGAGTACATGTACATAGAGGTGTATGCCACATGTATCGTGATCATAATGTCCAACTTACCTGGTGCCCCTAATCGCTTAACGTATTCATGATGGGATGCAATGGGAACCAGATGACTGTTTCCATTGCATTTGAGTACATGTATATGCAGGCCGCTGCAAGTGTGATGTACACGCATGTATCAGTTAGAAAGGGGGTTTTAAAGATTTAAAAAAAAATATATATCAAATCCAATTTGATAAATGATAAACCAACCATTTACCAGCATTTTAGATTTATCGGTATATGATGCAGTGTTTTTTCTTTGTGTTAATGGGCCTTGCTGTGCTTACATTCACGTGAGCTTGCGGTGTCTTCATTTTGAACTTCATATTTAATGTTTCATTTCAGTGCATGAATTGTTTTACAGTCAAACGTTTTTGCTTTACAATAGTGACTGCCTGAACTAGTTCAAAGTTGAAAAGGAGTCACTGTTCTTACCCATGCATGACATAGTTTTCAAGTTTAACACTGGAAAAACATGGAGAATGATGTGAGTGGTTAAGCAGAAGAAAGAATTCTGATTGTGTAATAGTGTGAAAAAGGGGCTTCAGAGGAAATCCAATTTTTTTTGGTAATATCAACACTGTAACATTATACACGTATGATATTAAACAGCATGTTTTAAAGATTTTGTTCTGGCATGTGGTTAATAGCCATAGTGTGTACAGTTGGTGCTGACCTTTGGTTTTTTGAAGCCATCTAGATTAGTTTTGCACACTTTTGGTTCCATTTCAACCAGCCTTTTCGCAAAGCGAACATCTTGCTTCACTGTACCTCTTGCCTTCCCATATTCATGTGTCATCCTCCCATCTTTTCCAGATAATGAGCTCATATGCTTTGGCTCACACTAACTGCGTGCCTAATGGTACCTCACGTGATTTGATTACCGTCACTTTTATGATCTACCCGTGTTTTTAACGAGTTTATGCTCTTTCGAGATGTACCATTTCTCCATGTGGAGGGATTGTTGTAACTCAGTGGGACATCAGCTAGTGTATCATGTGGACAACACAGCTTTGCCCTGAAATACAATGTAATGTTAGACAAATCCAAAATAGTTCCAGGTCCGCAAAGTCCAGTTATTTAAACCCATCTGTGCTACTGTGCACACATGTGCATCATTACTTGCCTTGGGGGCTTTCAGTAATTAGTTAAACTTCAGGTTAGGTTTGAAAAATTGGCCGAAAAATAAGTCACTCCTTTACTTTTGGTATTTATCTTTGCAGCTTTTGTATTAAAAAGTTGTTCATTTGGAAATCATTTAAAAATGCTTTTAATGGATATGAACCTGTTGATTGTGTGGTCCATGCTTTCCAATGTGGCCTTGATGAAAATATGGCGGTTTTGAAAGGAAAAGCATCCTACACAATATCTGAAAGTGCACAGCCAAGGTTCATGCACTGTATTTTGATCACTTTGTAGCACGGCAGGTACGTGTATGTCAGTCCTGCACATATAGCTAACACCTGTGCACCTACCTCAGTGTCCGTCCCAAATGTGACTGTTATTCCCCCCTCGCCCTCCACCCCCCACACACACTACCTGGCAACCCCCTCTTCCCTGATGCCCTTTATGTACGGCACCCACCGAAATGTGGCCTAACCATACTAACCCCATGCAATGGTTCTCTCCCCACTTCTACTTCTCCTTCTCCCTCTCCCTGACCGTTTCCTTCTGGTCCTCTCTCCTTCCTGGGGATTGTTTTTGTTTGGTGTTTTTCTACGTCTCTTTTGTCCTCTTCCCCCTCCTCTCTGTTTCGCAATGAAACAATCTCGCTGACCGTAGGGCAAACTATCCTTACAGTGAAGCCACGACGATGTACACGCAGGCCACCCCAGCTGGCGGGGCCACCTACTACTCCTCGGGCCAGGCGCTCACCTCCAGTGCCCTGGGGAGCATCCAGACGCTGGGTGGTTCCAACATGTCGGTGGGCGGCACCACAATCATCGGAGGGAACCTGCTGGGTGGGCCTCAGCTCATCACCCAACAGGGAGGCACATACCTGTTACAGGGTCACACCATGGATGGTAATGGACACCCTCTCACACACACCACCAGAGCATCACCTGCCACGGTAAGGACACTTGTCATTTCAGAGTTGTTTAGAAGAATTTTAAAAAATTGCAATTTCAAATCGATCACCTAGGACTTGTTGAACAGACTACGGAATGGTTGGACTTCTGATAGAAATTTACTGTCTTTGTAATGTTTATAAATAATCCAACCTCAATTATTTAAGGACCAACCTGATTTCACAGGGTGTTTCTGGATTTCAGGATTTTCTCCTGAAATTGCTGATTCGTAGAGATTTAATCACATGCAAGATGTTAGCCATTCGGGAGAGAACTCGGGCCTTGGCCGTTTTCCGATGCTCAACTTCGTTCCGTCTCAGGCTTCGTGTAGGAAATCAAATCCCCGATTGTGGGCCTGAAGCATTTAACTTAAATTGAAGTACTCTAATGTTTGGCTCTTTTGCATCTTATTTGATGTTGTGTGGCACTATTAGACTTACTATTACGCTTACAACCTCAAAGTCAGGAAGTAAACAGTTGAAGCCTGAGACGGAGCCCAAGTCGATTATTAGAAAAAGGCCCGTGTTAGCAATTGAAAGTCCACTCTTCAAAGTAATTCTTGATTATCATTACTACCTGTCTGGTGGATTATTTGTGGTTTTTTTCATATCCCACTCCCACCCTTGAGAGAAGGATATCAAGGGGGGGTCTTACTTTTTACACACATGTTCACTCGTAGGTCCAGTGGCTGTTGGATAACTATGAATGCGCAGAAGGTGTCAGTTTGCCGAGAAGCACTCTCTTCAATCACTACATGAGGCACTGTCAGGAACACAAAATTGACCCTGTCAACGCGGCCTCATTCGGCAAACTTATACGATCAGTGTTCCTCGGCCTTCGGACGAGGAGATTGGGAACCAGGTAGGATCCAAGCATCAAATGTCAGTCCTTCACAGTCTCCTCTGTTTTCGGTTTGCTCACTCAACCGAATACTGATTTAAAGTAACCCCGTCAGTTCACAAAGTGAAACAGACTTGTGATTTGAGGCTTAACCTTGTGATCATGTTTACCAAAACTTACCGAATGGAAACTTATTTCTATGATCGGAATTACAAAAGGATGATGCAGCAAATAATACAAAATGAATTTTCTCGTACGTTTCACCGATGTTTTTAAGTGAAGAGGTATTTTGTGTTTGTTTGTTTGTAAGTGACGAGTGACAGTTTTGGTCTTTGCTTTTCGAATTCTAAATGTTTACCTTAGCTTATGAACTTCTCGTATCTTGTTTCAATAAACAGAGGAAACTCCAAGTATCATTATTACGGCATACGTATCAAGAGTTCGTCACCACTTAATCAGTACCAAGAGGAGAGTGGCCACACAGCCATGAGACAGCAACCCATCAACTCAGCAAAAAGGTATTTATCTCGCCCTTGCCTTTCCATTTTGATTCTTCTGTCTGTTGACTGATAGCATGTCAGGGTCACCCTTTCCAATTTGTAACGCCATCAAGTGTCAGGATGAATAATTTGAGACACATAATCAACAGTCTACTCGTCAGACGACAGATTTATTCATGTCTTGTTCAACACTATGAGTTCTTTTAACTTGCTTTTCTTTCAGGTTCAAGCCATCCCCCATAGGCAGCAAGCAGGATGGCACCGAGGGTGGAGGGGCAGTCAGCGGTAGCGGCGGGGGCGCCCAGGACCCCGTTCAGACCCAGACCCAGCAGCACCAGCAGTTCCTGGGTGACGCCTCCATGGCTTTGCCCGATTTCGGGGAGCTCAAGTTTGGCACCACGCCGCTTCCAGAGGGAGTGACGCAAGATGACGTCAAGGCCTTCCAGGCCCTCTACAGAGAGCACTGTGAGGTAATCAAAGCTTCATAAACCAGAATTGATTCCCCTTCAAGGTGGCATGGTGCAGTGGGATGAATGGATGGACCACACCTGCTCAGTGAAATTTGTTTGCTTAAACCCAAACATCTGAGTGTGGAGAAACAAGTTGTGGAAGTCTGCCATGTAACAATACAGCAATGTTTGTCACAAAAGAGCAATAAATGACACTGGCAAAGGAGAAATTTCCATGATCGTTGAATGAGAGAGGAGCTGACCATCAAGAATTTCAGAATTTGGGGGCAGGTTTTGAAGTCTTTAAGTTAGTGAATGCAAAGTACCTATTTTGTAAGAATAATATTTTTACAGTGCCAATACTAACATTTACTTGTTCAGTTACAAGCGTGCAGCCACAATAAAGGGGAATGTGAAACCAGGTGAATCTCCGATAGTTGCCCTTTTATTCATAAGAGGATAAACTTCACTGCTGTTGTTCACAGCCATTTATCCATTCATTTCTTCATCTTGCAGGCCATTCTGGATGTGGTTGTCAATCTCCAGTTTGCACTTATTGAAGCTTTGTGGCAGACATTTTGGAGGAATCCTCCTGCCGATGCACAGCAAAAGTATGTCTTTTATAGATCATTTCCTTTTTATTGTGATGGATGAGATTCTGGCCTGAAAAGTAACTTTCTGTTAGCCCCCCCCCAAAAAAAGTGTTGTATCTTAATAAGAATTTTCCTGTTTCTATAAGATCTTTAGGAGAACCCTAAAAATATTCAGAAAAAGTAGATGACATTGGATCATATGTTTTACGTCGATCCTATTGTATAGTTTGACTTCGAACATTGCAAACGGAGAAAAGCTTGTTTAAATAATGCTGTCTCACAAGTAGACCCACTTTCGACCACATTTCACATCATTGTTGTGAGACTGAGTGGTGGATTACGTTATTCAACTCCACATCCTTGAAAGCTAATTCTGAAACGTTTTTGTTCTCAGTGAGGGAGATGTAGAGAAGAGACTTCCCAAAGCCAAGCTTATCTCGTTGTGCCAGAGCAGTCCAGTACAGGAGTACGTCAAACACTACGACCATGTGCTGTATCAAGGGCTGGTGGAGGTCCTTATACCCGACGTGCTACGGCCTATACCAAGTAGGTTCACAGTTTCTGAAGTTTTTTTTTTTTTCACTTTGCCCTGTTTGAATGGGTGACTTACTTCTTTATAGTCGGAGTGATCTGTTCACCAGATTTTAGAGCAGGTCATGGGTGCAAGTCGAAGCAATCTTTGACCTAGAGGATGCTGTGCTTGGTCAAAATATGGGTTGAGAGCAGTTGTAGTTGAGACCTCTTAAGACCATCACAAGGTGACACAAATCTATCACAAGACAAACACGACACCCTGTCTGAATTCAAGTTGCAAGCTATTAGAATGAACTGCCACCAAATCATTCCTGTGTCGTTGTTCATCCTGTTGCTTGTGACTGGTCTTGTGTCTGGTCTTGTGTCTGGTCTTGGGTCTGGTCTTGTGTAAGGTCTTCTGATGTTCTGACTACTGTCTGCAGCATGCCACCTTAAAAATGATTTCCTTCAGCTTAATCAAACTGTACTGAGAGTGCAAGTCATTTTATGTTTGTTTCTCCTTTAAATATAATCTGCGTACAAAAAAATTTTGAAACATCAGTCTAATAGAAACTCCTCATAGACCCAACAAACGGGCTGAAATTTAATCATGTACATTATTTGGAATGCCATCCTCCTCTGCAGGTGCCTTGACTCAAGCCATTCGCAACTTTGCAAAATCGTTGGAGACCTGGTTAAAAAACAGTATGACTGGCATCCCTCAAGACATGATAAGTCTTAAGGTAAAACCCCTTCCACTTTGTCATTAAAAAGGTTGAATGCGTTGTAGATGCAAGTAATTTAGTGACAAGTATGTTTGTGACCTG